ATCTCTTCTCCAGAAGAACTGCTTGTAAGATAAGAGAAAATGGCCTCAAGTTGCACCAAGGGAGGTTCAGGTTAGACCTTAGGAAGAATTTCCTTCTTAGGAAGAAGGAGTGTTGGAGCATTGGAATAGGCTGCCCAGGGAAGTGGTGGATTCACTGTCCCTGACAGTATTCAAGAAACAGAGATGAAGGCACAGAAGATGAGGAAAGAGTAGATGAGGCACTTAGGGAGATGATTTAGCAGTCATGGTGTTGAAGGGCTTATGGCTGGTGAACTCAATGATCATGAAGGTCTTCTCCAGCCATAATGATTCTATGATTCTATGAAACTGATCTTATTTTCATTAATATGTGACTCCTGCATCAAAGCTTCCCCTCTGTAAAATGGAGACAATAACAGTAAAAGCAGGGCTATAAAAATAATGTATCCTTCCACCACAAAGAAGTCGGAAAGATAAAAAATTATTTAGAAGTACTCAAAGCGTTTTCCTCAAGAAGTTCAGTAATTTTCCTTTGTATGAATGTACATTTTAATTGGATTGGAAAGTAATCCCCAGCATTTCTTACTAGGAAGTTTGATTAAYAGACCACAGAAAAGTCTACAAGAATCCTAAGGTAAATTTATCAGGTAAATATTTATGGGGAAGAGATCTGCTACCCAGAAGGTTTTCTGTGTGAAGTGCGTATTAGATCATACTCATATTTTCTTGACAGATAAAACATGTAAATAACAAAGGAAATCTTCTCAAATCAAATTCACTTTATTAATGAAGCTGTAAGTGCCTTCTCACTATGCACAGAGATAAACACATTCGTAGAGGTTTTTGTAGAATAAAACTATTCTGAAAGAATTAACTTACATGACTTAAGTCTAAGAAAGATGTAAGTCTCAATGATCTATCTTATGACATTCTTTAAAAGATTTTGTTCAGTCTTTTCAAGAATAATGCTTATTACTGTTATTGTTGTTACTAAGTTTTATTATTACTGATAAAACCCAAGAGAATACAATACAAAAGAGGAATGACAGTTATTTGGACAACTGAAATACAGTTTTGTTAAAAATAAATACCACAGGACAATTAAAAGGCAGATTTTTGCCTAAGACAAGGGTCTAGCAGCTCTAGAAAAACAGATTAATGAAAATGTAAGGCAATACTTGGGACATCTGGCTCACAAGAAAACTAGAATTTGAAAACAACAATTAATATTTTATTTTCTTTATTAATTTAAAAAAATATATATTTTTTTGTCTCAGGCAATTTGCCCTTGTGGCACATTCTTCATTATCCAAATCTACTTTGCATTTGTAAAACATATTTTTTTCAATATCTACTACACACGCATTAATATTAGGATAAATTACTGTTCTAAATACAATTAAAGCAAATATCACACATATTTATGGACAAAAGACACCATGAATAGGAAAAGGTATAGTTTTTTGAGATTCGGCCATCAGAGATGTTTGCCTGTGCCTTCATTTCCAGCAGGTAAAAGTCACTTTTGTAACACTCATTTGAGCTACTCCACATTTGCTGCAATATATGAACCTGTATCTACACCATGCCAAACAGATAAATACCTAATCTGTTCTCAAAAACTTGAGTTGGGTACTTAGCATATTTCAGTGTTTTGCCATCCTTCTTGCAAAGCAGTGAGGACAGAAAGGCTCTACACATCAATGCAAGCAAGAAAAAACACCAAAGAAAAGATGTGAGCCCTCTATCTCCAAAGCGTCTGGGAATGTTTGCTCCAGGACACTGGAATCTCCCACCTGGGACAGTGGCATGTAACAGAAAATGTAGCTGCTGAAATTAGAGTAGCCACTGTTCCTAGTACAGATATAGATAGACCCACCATAGATGTGAGGAGATTTTGTCACTACTGTATTGTCACTATTGTACAGTTTTGCCTCTACAAAGCCTATCTATATCTGCCTAGGAATACGCCACTATGCTCTTATTTGACTAATAATAACAAGTCTCAGAACATGAGCAAAAGTATGGATTTCTGAATATAATCCAAACTATGGTATGGATTTCTGAATATAATTTGAAACTAATTTAAGATTAAAGACTGCAAAACATGAAGCCAAGTGCTCAAAGTGGCTAACATTCATCTTAGGAACATAAAGCAGTGACAGGGTAAGAATTTGTTGGAGAAAGGTTTTAACTGCCAGTTCTACCACCAGACTGAGTCTCCTTGGGCACATCCTTGTGGTTAAAAGGTACTTTTGTTTTTTCCTTTGTTCCTTGGTATATTTTTACATGTAATGGAAAAGTATGATCAGACTTGAGTTAATCCYTTGGTTTCTTTTGTGTTCACAAGGCATGAGTCATTCTGCTTCTCATTCCAGCTCCTCCAAAGCCAAAAGGTTAATACTATAACATGGAGAAATGGTCTTAGAATCTGCAAATGCTGTACTGGGTGTTTTTTTCAAGCTAAGAAATACTGAACATAATGATTTTAATTCTCCTCCTAACGGAGAGAAGGAGATAGTGTTTTTAGTTTTATTAGGTAAACCAGACAAGTTAAGCCCTGGAGTAAAGCAGGCCTTATGATGGCCTTCGTTTACTCTCCCATGAATCATAAAGCAAGCACTTTGTCTCACTTCAGGATCTGATAGCCAAGTAGCTAATACAGCCTTGCTGCTAAAGGGGAGAGTTCAAAACAACACATTGCATRTAAGAACATGCTACACAGACAAAATATGTCATTGTGGTGACTGAGAGGGTAAGTGGTCAGATGAGACTTAGATGACTCAGTGCTGAGCCCATGAAGTTGGGAGCAATGAGCTCATATTTCTTGGGACCAGCTCCTCCATGAACACAATTACCACGAACAGATTGAGCAAATCTTGCCTTGCAGGTATTTCCCTCTTTCAGAAAACAGACATCTGTTTTGAGTAGAGTCCCTCTAGGACCTACCCTCAGGAAAACTCCGCCAGAGAAATTTCATTTTTTGGGGAAATACAGAAATATTTACGATTTGGGTAAATTGGCTTGAATCAAATCTCTAGTTCTATGAAATGCTAAATGAAAATCTTACCAATTTCCACAAACATAAGCTTTTCTGCAGTCAGCCTGCTCATTAGTCTATGGCTCTCTGTGCACAAATGCCAGTGGGACAGAAGGCCCTCTGGGGAACAGGACTTACCTACTTTCCGTAGAAGTAATTCATAATATATTTGTCTGAAATAGGTATAAAACTAAACCAAATGGGGAATTGGGCCCTGATTATGTCACATGCTGAGGGTACCAATTTGCAAGCAATGTTTGTGAGAAACCATGTGAAAATCTCACAGGAAATCTGAATTTCAGGAGACTGGTGAAATTCCAGCCATCAAAAGCATGTAAACAGTTGAATTTTGAAGAAGAATGATGACATTAATGCTAATACAAAGTGATAGTTTTTTTTTGCAAAACATCCATTTTTAAAAGGACACATTTAGGAAGCAATGGATGAGCAATTATCAGTACTTCAAAAYTTAGACTCTCAGTTAGTAGGGATTCTCCAGTAGGTATGCTTCTAGTTGTCATTCCACCTTATTTAATTCCTGTTCCTACCACATAAATTGTGTTGTTGTCTATCACTGTCTCATAAAATTCTTCTTAGGAGTAGAACTGAGTGAATGACTCACAGTAAACTGCACAGGTAAGAAGAGTAGAGTTTTTTTTTTTTTTTTTTGAATCCGTAAGTAATTTGATTTTTAGCCATTTTGTTGCTATGCCAAGTAATTCAATGAATGCTTTCTGAAGCAAAATGTCAGCCTGTGGCATGATCACAAACTGTTCGATAAATGTATTTCTACCTGCATTCATTATTTGTATAAATCATCATTCAAAATCTGACTGGGCCAAGCAACTTCATACTAATATTCTTTTCTCTAACATAAACACAATACATCACAATTTACGTATGTTTTCAATTAGGACATTTTTGTAGTTAAATCCCAAGGGCTCAAAATTCATTTGGCATCTGCATTTAGATGAATAAAACTGTAAAAACAGACATGTTTTCAAAAATGCAATCTAGAGAATTTGTGAGCTCAATGAAAATTGCTGATTGGATGCAATACTTTTCCTCCACATGTGACAAAAATGGGCAGACACACAGAAGAGATTTCAAGTTTATAGTATATGAATCCATCCTTTATACTGGAGATTGCTCCAATCCTGGATACTAAAAATATCCTGCAAATTTCTAAATTTTATCTATAACTTAATGGCTCTGCTATAAAAAGACCACATGAAGGTCAGTAGTCTGCCTGTTGTATGGAAAGAGAGCCAGATTTCATAGCAAGCCTTTCTCTTGTCCCTTGTTCCTTAAGAAGAGACTAAGTAATCAAGACCAATAGAAAAAAAAAAAAAAGAGAGATTTTTTTCTTCAGTGTATCTATCACTTTTGACCTCAGAGGGAAGTTCACAAGCAACAAGAAGAGGCTTTTCCTTTCCTTTGATTTTTTAATAGATATTCTTAAGCCTCTCTTTCTTCTCCTGGATCTGTTTCCTAAGCCCCATTGTAGTCTCTGACAAAAATAGAACCAAGAAATGATTCTGCAAAATTAAATTCTCCCTCCTACGCATCCCCAAATGACATCACTCCCATGCCTGCTTTGTCCCCAGAAGGCTTCTTCCTGTGCTTCATCATAGCATCACAGTCACTAAGGGCAACATGCTAAGGTTAAGTCTGGCATCTAAGTTGCCTAGAGAGGTACTAAGTTCCCTAGAAAGATGGGCACCTGCAGAGGGCAATTCAACTATCACTCTGAGAATCCCACCAAAATTGTTCTCAGCACAGCCAAGTTAGTTAGGCAGAGTCACAGTCGGGACAGCATGACAGAAAAAAGTTCTTAGCACAGAGTCCACAGGTATTTATAGTTACAACCATTGAGTTTGGGGCTTTTAAGAACACTGTTTCTTAAATCGTGGTGTCATGTTTTGATTTATTTGATGTCATCTTTGCAATTAAACCATCTTTTATATTTTTGTCCTTTCAGAACTTGGCGATAATTTCGAAGATATTGCCTAGTCTGGGAAACATGAAATGTCAGGAATGATTGAATGGAGGAGAGGAAATGAATAAGAGAATGTATGTCAAATGCAAGAATGAAATGGCAGTAGAAGGCGGAAATCTTGATTTTCAGGTAAAATGAAATTTTGCTGAAAACTATCAGCAAGTTTCAGACTTTCTGAGAAACAGGAATGCATCACATAGGCAAAGGTGCACTGTCATAAGCTCTGTTTCATTAGGAAAGTAAACAAATAGTATACTTCAAATTCTACTAATTTCTACTAAAAGCTAAATTCTACTAAAACTGACTTATAAATAAAAAAAAAAAAAAAAAAAAAGCAAATCTCTAGTCCTCTTGACCTAAGTATTCTTGTAAATTATATCAGGCAAGAATAAACTGATGTATTGACCAATAATAAGAGTGTTGATATTATGGTGCTATTTTAAATGCAATGCAAGGAAGCTGCAGCCATGTTCTTTGTCTTAAATATTTTAAAAGAATGCTAAAGATCAAGTCTTTCTGACTGCTCTGGTCTCCTTGCAGGTTTGTCTCTGGATATAACTAGAAATGCTGAACTACAATGAGTAAAGGCATGGAAAGTATATTAGGAAATGTGAAGGGGTTCTCAATTGACCTAAATATTCTCGACAGTTATGAATGAATTCTCAGTAAGTAAATTGTTTGGGCTTTTGAATAGATCGAAAGATGGAAAAGATAATGTTCAGAATGAATAAAAATTTAAAGTGATGCAGCTACAGCCAAAAAATTAGAAAACTAGATTCTGTCCAAATACACATCATGTGAATTTTTAGCCTGGTATGTTTCAAATTAAAATTACTGTACTGCAATTACATGGCACTGTACAACCACTATTGCATATTGTATTTAAATGGCATTTCTTATAAGACCAAGTAGTTAAGTGGCTTTTTTTTAGAAACACCACATTTTAGCAAATACACCTCAAAAGGCTGCTACTTACAATCTTCATCTTCATTTACTTAAGTAATAATGGTTAGAGAACAGGAGGTTTCAGACAGGCTCAGTAATAGGTATAAACTGTTCTCTGGAGTACTGACTCTTTCAAGTTATTTATTCATTGCTATAATCTTGTACATCTAACTATTTTTTATCTGATGTAGAGAATATATGTGAAGTAATCACATGCACATGAGGTCAAGTCCTGAAATTTGTATTCAACTTCCAATTCTATCTTTAATGGATTAGTGTTCCTGCTGAAGTATGGCCCAGAGGACTCTCTTCTGTCCCCTGAAGCTCCAAATGACCATTCTACACTGGGAGGCTGGGGAAAATCCTCCTTCCTCCACAACACCACTACCAGTTTATCCAATAGTTTGATACTCAAGACACCATGTGCACTGTGGGAGATCCAGCAGAGCAGAAGCCTCAATATAAGCCCCTCAACTCCCAGATGAGTGTGTTGAGCCCTGGTCAGTCCATGATGTGTTCATGTTAGTCACTCTCACTTGAACCTGAAAGATTATCTTGGACATTAGAATGGGTATTCAGTGGTAGTAAAAAAAATCTAGTTAATATGTAATGAAATTTCTTCAGTATCTTTTGCCTCATGAATTATGGAGTCTAGTTACTTGGAATGTCCTACTGCTGATAACGACCTCAAACTGATATGTGGACCCAGAAAGCCTCATCAGACAATACTTAGTAATTGATATAGTGTAACACTATTTCTTTTAAGATGTAGATTTAATTAGAATTAAGCTACATTCAGTACACTGAATATTTACTTCTTGGTCATCTAAAATAACATCCACAAAATAACCTAGCTGCTGGTTTTAGCTTCTTGCACTCAGACACGTTTCTCAAATGCACTCATTAGTTATAATAAGGAACTGTCTCAACAGCTGTGTGTCTTCCATGGTTAGTTTGATCTGCTTCAGACTTCATGAATCAGTTTTACATTACAAGAGCTAGTCTCCATCACTTCTAGCCTGTTTTAAAGGAAACCTGCATACAACATTTGTCTATTTCAAACTTCTGCCTCCATTCTCAGCTCAATAATTATATCTTGCTGAGATGTCTAAAAAATAAGATGTCCTGAAATCCCTCTTCAAATTTGATTCTGACCTTACTAAAAGAATTTTGGTTAAATCAAAGGGAGACAGTCCAATCAAAACCACATTGCTTAACTGTTATCTGTGGATAGAGCTCCAAGGAAAACATCCACCTCTGCTTTGTAGAGTGGAGTACTACCCTGGCTGCTCATTAGCTGTCACGTCCTTTCAGGCAGAGCTCAGATCATGCCTCCCACCTGGGCCATAAGGAGGTGCCCTCACCTTTCTTGGTCCTACTTCTACAGTAGTACTTTTGTTTCCTTGTCCTACATGTCCCTTACTCTGCCTGCAAAGGCATGAAAGTTTCATGTAATTTTCTTACATAGGTAACCAAGAGGAAACCAGTTGGAAGGGGCACTTCAGGAATAGTGTTATGGCATCCATTTGAATAAATATTCTAATTGAGAAATCCTTAGGCTTTGCACATGTTTGCTTCTGAAAGTTTTCCCACCATCAGAGTGACTGCATTGAAACTAATAATTCAGGGATGCAAAGCGAGTGTCACTCTGGATCTAGAATAACCTTTGAACTTCATTTGGCTTGAATACCTCCTTAGCAGATTCACATTTCTGTTCTCTTCTACAACATGATCTTTGCCTATCAGCCCAGTTCAAGTCATTTGGCCTTCCTTTGAATGAATTGACTCCGAGTGGCCAGTTCATTATTACATTAGAGGGAAAAATTGTAGCAGAACTCTCTGCYAAGCACACTACTAACTAGCTGATGCTGCATATTCTTACTGGTACAGAATAGTCTGCATCTGTAGAGTGATCATTCCTCAATATCTGTCAGATTGCATGTCTTAATAAGATAATCTATTTATATACTGTGCTGTTTCTTCTCTCTTCTGTGATTTTGAGATGACCTGAGGTGATGGCTATCTGTGTGATTTTATTAGTCACTAGTGTATTTTTATACCTTGTGTGATAATTTTGATCTGTTTATAATTTTGGCATCTAGAGATCTGGTATTAATTCACAGTTTATTTATGTATGCTTTTTTTTTTTTTTTTTTTTTTTTGGACCACTGCAAAAGCTGAACTATTTAAATATTTTTCATGGAGAATTACTGAAGCAATCTCTGTTCTGAAAGATAATAGTTAATTTTGAGATTATAACTGTGTAAATGCATACATTAAATTTGGTTTTTCTCACATGTCCTATCATGAATTTATCAACTCTGAATTTTATTTACCACTATATTACCCTGCTTGCGATGGGTAATGCAAGATCCTCTTAGACTTTCTTTGATCATTTSCTTTTTTTCTCCATATAATTTCTGATCCAAATGCTTTCTCACCTTACTATCCATTCTACTTTCCATATTATTCATAAATATATATCTTTGTTATATCCCACTCATAGCTCTCCAATTATAAAKACTGAGGTTTTTTTAACTTTATTTCCACGTTTTCATAAGCTCTTCATCCAGGACAGAACATTTTCTCTTAACGATTTGGTTAGGGAACTTGTCTTCGGTGACGGAAATTCTCAAAATCCTTTTGGAAATAAATCAGTAGCATGTTAGCTTACTGATTCCAAAAGAGATTAAACTTTCTGTTGGAAAATTTGGAAATCTGGAAAATCTTGTTTTACATTTCATCATATTTTCATCATCTGTTAATTCTTATTAATTATAACTTCCTCCAGTTTTTTGAACCATACTCACAACCAGAGCTATGATCCCATGCACAGTCTCTTTAATTCAAGCGTATTTTTTAAATTTGACATCACATTGGACCTTTCTGTTCTCCTTGTAGCAAAGCAAGACTATTCTAAAAAAGATAAACACATCACAACTAATACTTCAGGATTTTTATATCTGAATTTTTTGTCAATACTGTGAAGAGTGTCATCTACGTCTGACTACTTATTATTGTCCGTTTGACTTTTTTTTTCTAAGACTTTACCTTCARCTAATTTCAGATCTCTCTTACAATAAATAAGTCTAAGCATAAACGTATTTTCTATTCATTTTGCAATAAATTCAAAAAGTTTAGAGTTTCTTATCTTGGTRTCTTATGTAATAATATGTTATACATTGTATTGTTTGCCAATTAAATGCTTGAATCTCTTTATTCATAAGAGTCATAGGAAGTTAAGTAAAATGACTATACAAGTCAAAGAGCAATATTTATTTCAGCTTTATCAAATTTGTACTCCAAGCTATATACTTGAGTGACCTGAGCAGTATTCCTGCTCCCTGCTTGTAGCTAGCTTGTAGCAAACTGAGATCTGTTTAACTGCTAAAGCCTAAATAACATGAAATTACTGCTGATATTTCTCAGGAAAAGTTTTATAACTGGGGTGCATACTGCTTTTGAGCATCAAATTGATGTGAAAACAAAAGTCATATGGGAGAATGATACGGGTTATTGAATGCACTGTAGGGAATATGAAGGCAGAAAAGAGGGCATTAGTTCTTGCATACAGCTGAGCTGAACAAAGATACCAAATGATTCCTACTATGAAGTATTTGAGCCATGACCTCTAACTAGTAATTTTCGTTTTAGGCAATGTATTCTTTTTCAGTTTAACACAGATTACTTAAAAGTGGAAGTTTTCTGTTTTTCCTGCTGTTTTTGCAAATTGGTTATATACCTGAAAACATATGAGATGTTGGAGTAGAGCAATAAGAAAAAAATAGGAAAAAGATATGTGGAACACCCACTTCCTGTACTTCAACACCATCAACACAATGTTTGTTGTATGTGAGATATTTTTCTTCACAGAAAAGCTCTATCATAAGGTGGTTCAGTTTGTACATGTCTCTCCAACGATAAGTATAAATACCACATCTTCATAAAACAATGTCCAGGGCACTCAGAAAAATCTAGAGCTCAGAAGCACGTCTTCAGAAAAGAAGAATTTACATGATTCGTCTCTCTTYGTGTTTTCTTGCTGCTGGGAAGAAAAGAAAAATATATAATCAATTTGTATCTGTGTATACAATCACTGCATAAAAGGCAGTGAAACTTGAAACCCATATAAGCATCTTTACATGAGAGTATCCTTCATTTCAGATATGTTTGATATATTGTTTTGGGGTCAGTTTTCCCTTCTTTTAGTGGGTCTAAAGAAAAACAACTGTATCTCTTAGAAATATGGCATAAACAGTTGGGCTTGTGAACACCCCTTTTCAGAGGAAAAGATGGAAAATGAAATACAGAACTAAAAAAAAAAAAAAAAAAAAAGCACACCTGGCTTTGAAAGTCATTTCTTATAGCAAATGAAAAGAGAGGAGGGAAGGAGGGAAGAAAAATCACATCTGCTAGAGGAACTTAATGTGATCCTTTTAACATAGCTATGCATGCCACAATCTAGGAAGAGCATATCTTTTTCCTTGGAGTATGTAAAGGACCACCTGGAAGGTTTTCACTGAGAATCTCACTGGCAGAGCAGGAGATGGGGAGGGAGGAAACCAGCGAGGGTGGAGTGTTCTTGATTTTTTTTTTTATGGTCAAGCGATCCTTGTTGCATATTAGTCTAGCACAGGATRATTTAAATCACTCGAGGGAACTGCTGTTTTGGGGGAGTTTTTCTTTTTTCCCCAAGGATTGTAATCTCTAATCTCAACTTCATTTGTTCATGGATTCATTGATGAAGAACTTCTATGTTAACAAGTTTAGACAATTATCATACCATAGGAAAAATTAAAATCAAATTAGACTAATTTTGACAGGTGCTTGTCACTGTACCCTAAACCACATTTTAAGGAAATTTTTTCTTCTATTGTAGTGATATTTGTCTTAATTTTCCACTTTGCTGCTAGTGTCCCCCAGTAGAGAYGTTTTTTATATATGTGGGTTATGTTCAGGAACACCAAACCACATTGCTTGTGTTCGATAGCTGTGCTACACATGTCAGAGGGAAACGAATGAATTCATTGTATTTATCCTTGGGAGCGTCACATCCTATTTTTAGTTCCCCCCCCCTTTTTTTTTTTTTTTTTGAGTACCAAACATAGTCTTTAATGTATTATTCTCTGTCAGTGGAGAAAGAGGGAAATGAGGGAAAATCACCTGCTTATCGTCCAGTGATCTGAAGATGCCGCCTCTGTTTCACAAATGGCAAAGTCAGGTTGTCTCCTTGCTACCTGACTGAATATGTTTTATAATTCCTTATACATATAGTGGCCACATATGGTGGCAGGGAAGACAGATTTCCCTCTTGACCTCAGCATGGTGACTGGTCTGGTGCTCACATCAAATTCAGTTCTATCATCTTGAGCTTTTCTTCACCGAGAA